GGTGGGAGGGGTGATATATCAGTAGAATATCTTAAGTTTCATGAGTGACTTGGATGGATTAACTTGGTTAAATTCTGGAATTAAAATGGTCTTATATTACATAAATATATACATAGTTCATAACATTCATATCATTACAAGCAACACAGAACCTTTTATATGTCACATATGTTGAATGAAGGTAAAATAGAACAGTTTTGGCAGTTAAAAGTAACAGTTTACCTGAATATTTCACACTATAAAAGTAGATTATTGTGTTTTAACCTGAGCTATTACAGTGAAATGATAGATAGATAGATAGATAGATAGATAGATTAGTAAATTCGACTGTGAAACAAGTGCTGGCAAATTTAAATAACTAATTTTAAGTTGATACCCATGTGGTTTCAGTGAAATGATATTAAAGATGCACCATCATGCAGTTGGCTTAGTTAATTGTTTACTTTTTAAGATCACTAACCCCGCTCCCCTTTCACTTGAGATAATGCGAATTCAATTTGAGCCATTCGTGTCTCAATCGTAATTTACATTCTAAAGCAGAGCGCGCGCACCACCCATGCCTCTACTGTCTCGGAGGCGTAGCCCCATTGCGTACGATTAAGCTACGTTTTGACTTAGCTATCTGGTGCATGGTGCCAGTTAAAAGCTATTTTTAAACAAATCCAAACCACCTTTAAGGTGCGCTCACATTTAGCGTTGTTCGACGAATTTTGGTCGAATCATTCAATATTTTCGTGAGGACGAAAAAGTTCCCCACAGATTTCGCTCGATCATTTTCACATTGGTCACGTGAATCGCTGCGTAGACTACCGAAAGCTGCTTGGTGTGAAAGTGACTTTGTGTGAACAGTGTTATATCGCTACGCTATGGACTTAGTTTGCCAACGAAATATTAAATCAGATCGTAAAATATGTAGGCTAAAGTTACATTACCTTCAACTGCAGCAATGGACAGGGGTGTATCTTAAATCTCTCAAAGCACATGATTTTGGAGGAAAAATGGAGATTTAAATATTTTTTATTTATGAGTTAGCTAATTCTTGTATCATGGAGGAGTGTTGCCATGTCCGCGTACTATAGAATAATTATTGTTTTTAGTTACAACTTAGTTTTTTTTTTCTTCTAATCAAATTCATGTTATTAAGAATTATAAAAATTAACCAGTTCTCATATCTAGGCTTGTCACGATAACAACTTTTTGTTGTGCGATATATTGCCCCAGAGATAATCGCGATAACCGATATTATTGTCATTTTAAAGACCATTTTATGCCACTGACTATATAATCATAATGTAACAGCATAATAATGCAAGATGGCCTGCACACTTCCAAATGACAACAAACTTTTAATTTTTAAGAATATTTAGATCAAAGAAATTAAGTATCAAAATATTAGATACCTTAAAAAACCCGAATAAATAGTAAATAAACATTTTCTAACAAAAAGTGCAAAGTAACAAGTAGAAAAAAATAAAAATGCACAAAGAAATTTTTCCATCTACAGATTTTTTCCTGACCTTCTTTTCTCTGTAAATGAAGGGTGCACACTATTGCTGAAAAACACAATCACTACCTAGCAGTCAGATGTCCGTATGCACAAAGGCACAGATCCCTAAACAAGACCATTTTCGGTTTGTTTTACGAGATTTGGCAACACAGACCGCAATCAATCCTGAATAACATAATGGATACGATAGCCTACCCTTACCAAAAAGTAGTATACTTCAAGTTTATTTTAGTAAGTATACTTAAGTAAAGTTCAAGTATATTTTTAAGTATACTTTATGTAGTAAGTATACAAATATCAGTGTACTAGTAGTATACTTGTAAGTGTACTATTTCAATACTCCTTGGGACTAAATTGGCCCACTTTCTAGTATGTAAAAGTATACTTTTAAGTATACTTTAAGTATAACAGTAGTAAACTTTGAGTACACAACTAGTTTACATCAAAATGTTTAGTTTGTACTGCAACTATACTAAAAGTGAACTTATAGGTATACTGATAGTTTACTAATTAAATACTTGTAGTAGCATTTTTAGTAGACTTTTAAGTATAGTCTCAGTAAACTACTAGTTTAGTAGTTTTATACTGCAAGTATACTCTTAAGTTTTCTTTAAGTGAACTTTACATCATACTTTAAGTGTACTACTATGTCCCTATTTAGGTATTAATTTGTATATATTTTGTTACATGAATATCTGAACATACAAAACATCAAAAGAACAGGGTATCTGCTTGTAAACAAAAACATTTTATTCTAGCTTCATGCATTCTTTTTTTAAACACTTGAATGTGGATAAGTTCATAAATAACAATAAAGAAATAAACAACATTTTGAACAAAAAGCTGAAAAAAGACTATGAATTGGATTCAGAATGATAATCAAAACGTAGATAAAGTCGATCAACACACCAAAGCTTGACAGTTATTATTACCTCTTCATGGGTCGACATTTTATTCCATAATGTTACAGTTTTGATGCTGTTTTATGTCTGATGATCGTGTTAGATTACATGTGGAAGCATCTGTTGTTTCGGTTTCTTTTTCTCTTGTGTTTTTTGGAAATTCTGTACAGAAGATGTGTACTAGCGCCCCCTACAGTATAACAATGAAAACACGGATTCTAGGAGCACAATTATAGCTCAAATATATTTAGACTTTTTATATGTTTTATATAGTATAAGTCAAGTATACTTAAATGTCATTTTAAGTATATTTCTGAGAAGTACATAAAGCCCATTTCTGAGAAGTACACAAAAAGTAGACTAAAAGTATACTTTCCTATTTTTTAGTTTAAAAGAAGTATACCAATAGCACACTTGAATAAACTTATTTTTCGTAAGGGTAGCCTTCTGTAGCCTAAGTGTAACGTTAGTTAAGTATTTAGAAACCATATAACAAAGAAAAGCACACATATATCAGACACAATATTTGCATGACAATTTTTCAGGAACGAACACAGATATGCAGTTTTTGTCTGCAGTTTGTTGCTTCTATGTCATAATATGTCAAAGTCATGTAACCGAATCCTCTTGTGTGCATAGATGCGTTTGTAGACTAAGCAGTTTGATAGGCCTGAGAGCATTTAGGGAAACGGTGACCAACATTTTTCCTCTAGAAAGGGAGTCCTCAAATTATTAATGGCAGACAGAATGATTTCACAGAAATAAGCAACAAAACACAAATCCTTGTTGATAGTTAACGCGATGTAATCCTCTATCAGTCCATCACGCCACGTACACGTTCTTGTAGAATTATAAAATCTTTATTGCCATGTCAATTACAGTTCATTTTTCATGATCGCACAAATATAACATAACAAATAAACACTTTAAACCGTGGAACAACTGAAACAAAAGACAAAGAGATTAGTTCGAGAAATAACGAAAACGGTCCTAATATTGATAAAGTACTGATTTATCATTTTGTTTTTAATATGAACATTTAATATGAACACGTATTCAGTACTATGGAATGTGCAGCTATGCATTCAAAATAATGTTGTACATCATATTTTTTTTACAGACCTTTTTTGACAGTTATGAATGGTGTTTGAGAAAAAAAAAACTGAATGAAATGTAATAGCTGAAACTAACTGTACGTTAGTCTCATGTAGAATAAACGTTTAATATACAGCTGGATAAATCAGAGCACACTGGTTCTGTTGGCTTGCTTCTCGGTTCTTAGCATTAATAAGAAGGAGTGGCATGTGTTTGTGCTGGCTGATAATGTCGCTGACCTGTTTAAAAGTCTGCCAAAAACAATAGTGTTACAAACATTAGTCATTATGCATGTAGCTATGATTAAGGACATAAAAAAACAAGTTTTGATACCTCTGAGGATTTCAGACCAGTGCCTAGCATAAAGCCATCAGGATTTCTGCGGATCTGAATGTTGTAAACTTTATCCTGGTACAGGACCACAAGCGTGTAGGGCTGGTTTGAAGATTGATTTGAACTGTCTCGCACAAGGAACGTCCCATCCTGACAGAGGGCACATTTCAACAGATTAACTTTGTTAACCTGATATCAAGAATGACATGACATTTTTATTTCCTAAAGTTTTTAAGCATGTAAGAACGCAAACTTTTAAGTGCTATATACACAATGGTCTCACCCTGTTAACTCTTCTCAGGCAGCTCTCTGCCTCACCGCGGGTGACCTGACCCACATACCAAGCTGGATCCATGTCCTATAAATGGAGAAATAATAGTATCAGGGCTGACAATGACTAATGAGCAATGTTTGACTGTTTTTTCTTATCTGAGAAAATAATGATTCATTAAATCCAAATATTTTACAAAGAAATAATAGTGCTATAAACAAAATTCATCTTAGAACAGGATGGTATTTCTTTATCGAACAGATTTGGTGAAATTTAGCATTGCATCACTCACTGGATCCTTTGCAGTGAATGGGTGCCGTCAAAATAAGAGTCTAATAAACAGACTAATAGAAACATAATAATTCACAAGTAATTCACACAACTCCAGTCCATCAATTAATGTCTACTGAAGTGCAAAGCTATGTGTTTGTAATAAACAAATCCATCAAGACATTTTTTACTTCAAACCACATCTTAAATATCCATAATATTGCCAGTTAAGAAGACATCTAGTCTAAATCAGGAGAGAAATATGCACATATCAAGCACTATTTGTAAGCAAAAACAGTCCAAACCAGTTTTAAACAAATATGTTGGTGGATTTTGATGTGACAGAACAACAAGGAGATGGACTTTTTTACTGGAGGAAGCATTATTATGGATTATGGACTCATATTTTGGTACGAAGTGATGGTTTAAAGTTAAAAAGCCTTAATGATGGATTTGTGTCTTACAAACACGCAGCTTATCACTTCACAAGCTGTTAATTGATAGACTGGAGTCATGTCTATCACTGTGATGTTTTTATGAGCTGTTTGGACTCTCATTCTGACGGCACCCATTCACTTCAGAGGATCCACTGGTGAGCAAGTGATGTAATGTTAAATTTCTCCAAATCTGTTCCTATTAAGAAAAAACTAATCTACATCATCATGGATGGCCCGAGGGTGAGTAAATTTTCAACAAATTGTATTTTTTTTTTTTGGGTGAGCTCTTCTTTTAACTGACACTAGAAAGTGGACTCCTCTAGCGCCTCGAAGGAAATGAAATGCAATACAAAGGCGCCATCTGCTGGTTGATGTGTAGCGGTGCGATTGTTTGTCAGCAGCTCAAGCATTTCAGCCTACTGTACCTGCGGCAAGCCCATATCTGCTGGAGGAGGTGGTGCTCTTGCGCTTCTTCGGTGATCGCTCATTGCTTCCGTTCAACAAAATAAAGGATTCAATTAGTTATTTTCATTAAATGTATAGTAAGAGTAATCAAACTAATGCAATGCGTGCTCACCCTCCTGCAGTTTTGCCGGTAGTGATCGACTGGGGTGAGCACTGTGAAATGTGACAGAAGTTAGGCTATATATAATGGAGTAAATAATATTTCTCGAATAGTGTGAAATCTGACCGCCTACAGTCGGTGTTCTCATTCGAATACATACTTGTCTGTTTGATAGGACTGTCCGTGGGTTCCTGGCGGTCTTGGTGAAGGGTTCCTGGCGTGCAGTGGAAATGTATTGGAGTTGTGCCTGGCAGCTGTAAGAATTGAAACTTCAACTTAATTAGGGTTTTAAGATTTTTTTCGTTACTGATGATAATAAAGCTTATAATCAAAACACGAAAATACACAAAACAGTGAAAAACTGAAGGGGGTCTGAATACTTTCCGTACCCACTGTATGTGTGTGTGTGTGTGCGTAATGTGATTACCTCTTTTCTGTGGTCAGGTTGTCTGTTGGAAAAGCAAAGTGCAGGTTACAGTCTTTTTCTTTGTGAAAAGAATGTGCAGTGTAAAGTTATTTCATTTTTTATGAATCTGACCTGTTTTGAGAGTAGCCTGGTGTAACAGAGGAGGCGCTTCTGCGCACCCCTGATGGAGGAAGTGAGGGTTTGGGAATTCTCATCGGGTCTCCTGGTGGCTCCACTGCAGGGAGTCTGAAGCAAATGAAATAAAAGCAAATAAAACCATTCTGAAAAATGGATGACAAATTAGATTTTTTTTCCCCCAAAAACAGATTTTTTCAGTAATTTGCAAAACTATAAATAGTGGATTCTATGTACACAGATGTACAAGAGAATGTCAACCTTTTTAAATAGTAAATTATACTACTAAATATTATCGTACTAAAGTGGCATGTGCAGTTATTTCTGTTTTATCTATAAGAGAGGAAATTAAAGGAAACCACTGTACCTTCTTGGTAGGCTTGGTTGGCCAGCCTGCAGGAAAAAAATAATTATTAAAGAAATAGCATTTTACAGAACCATTGAAATGTAAAGTTATTATGGTGTACTATATACAAAAAATAAAAATGAAACTTTGAAATGGAAAGACAAAATATTAGGAAAAAAGTACACACACACACACACACACACGAGGTTAATGGAAGTTATTAGTATGTTCGTAGTAATAATAATAACAACAAGTCATAAATATTATTTATGAAAACACACACACTATAATATATACTTATATGTGACCCTGGACCACAAAACCAGTCATAAGGGTAAATTTTTCGAAATTGAGATTTATACATTATCTGAAAACTGAATAAACGAGCTTTCCATTGATGTATAGTTTGTTAGGATAGGACAATATTTGGCAGAGATACAACTATTTGAGTATCTGGAATCTGAGGGTGCAAAAAAATCAAAATATTGAGAAAATCGCCTTTAAAGTTGTCCAAATGAAGTTCTTAGCAATGCATATTACTAATCAAAAATGAAGTTTTAATATATTTACAGTAGGAAATTTACAAAATATCTTCATGGAACATGATCTTTACTTAATATCCTAATGATTTTTGGCATAAAAGAAAAATCAATAATTTTCACCCATACAATGTATTTTTGGCTATTGCTACAAATATACCCCAGCGACTTAAGACTGCTTTTGTGGTCCAGGGTCACATATATACTATACTTAATAATATATAATATATATAATTAATGAATGTACTATAAACGCAACTTGGTGATGTGAAAAAAACGTGAAAAATCACACACACACACAAACACACACACACACACACACATAGTGGCAAATTCTATTTCAAGGTAGGACAACTTAACAACTAAGCAAACGTACTCTGTCAAGCGAGCATGTGCCTCTTCCACCTGTGAAGACACAATAAAGTTTTAGGGTTGTTAAAACACACAACCTGTAATTACAATACAGTTTAGAATCAAAGCCTTCCCTTCAGACGCTGGCTACATTATCTGTATTGATGGCTTTGACATGAGGTCATATCAAGGTAATCTGAATTGCATTATTTCTCAATTATTATTTGCTAAAATTGACCTGCTACAGCTGGAGGTTGGCCTCTGTCCAGAGCTCCTGGCTTTGTACTGCGGTCCACAGCAGGTGCTATAAGAGCACAGGAGGGTAGAAACCACATATAGAAAAGGTGGATAAGTTCAACAACATCACACCCAGTTTATCTTTTAATTAAAATAAGAATACTTCCCTACCTGGGGGTCTTTTTAGGGGCCGCTCTTCTCTCATAGGTAGTCCAACCTATCAATCACAATATTGAGTTTATAGGCAAAGAAGTCTCAAAAAATGAAAACCAGAGATGAAGAGGGACACATACTGTTTGGAAATGTGAAGTACTCACACTTGGCCGCTCTACGGGAGGGAGAGCGGGTCCAGGGCCCGGGCGCTCCGGAGGGACAGGCGGTTGACTTCTGCCCACTCCACGTGTGCGGTTATTATCTGATTAAACAAGGAATCCTATCATGAATTTTCCAAAAGACTGAGACAACGTTAGTATGGAAAAGTGTCCAGTTCTGCATACCAATATAATCGCTGTTTTCCATGGGTTTTGCGGGGCAGATCTGGGCCGTGTCTTCATTAGGCTCGGTTGGCGGAGGCTCATAGCTGTTATCGCTGTCTGACCCCTCCTCTGGGGACTCATAGTCTCCACCGCTAGCTTCACCTTCATCATTCGAATCAGGATTCTCGTAGTCATCATCACTCTCCTTAAGGATGAAAGAATACATGTGTTCTGCCGGTAAGATGCGATGCTGATCACTTCAAAACTCTTTTAAACACAAATACGAGACTTACAAACTCCTCAGAGTCCCACGCTTGATCTTCATGGTGCTCAACTGAAAATAGTCAGAGCAGACTTCTAGACACTATCTTAAAATTGTAATTTGTAGCATTGAATATATTGTACTTTATGTCATACCTGGTGGTTGTGGGTAGCTGGGAACTGGTGATGGCCTGTTACAAAACACTAAGGATAATTAGTTGTCTGCTGACTGTAGATATGCTGGTTATATACTGAATCATTTAATCTAGTCGCCCTCATGTCGTTTCAAACCTGTGTGAAGTTTCTTCTTCTGTGGAACTAAAAATATAATCACTTTGTTTGTGTGGGGGGGGTCCATACAAAGAAAGTAAGTTGGGTCCAATATTGATGTACAGTTGGGTCCAATGATTTTCATTAGACAAAAAAAGAGTTCCTCGAAAGACATTTTTCAAAGTATCTTCTTATGTGTTTCCGCTGAAGAAAGTAAGCTTGGAACAAAATGAGGGCGAATAAATGAGGACAGGATGTTAATATCTGGGACAAAAAACCTTTAAAAGTTCAGCAAGAACACAGATGTGATGTCTGGGTCATATAGTACAAACTAACCTTTACAAGTCTGGGCTCAGTAGTTTAACACTTTTATTATGCAATTAATCAAAAGTGACAGTAGAGGTTTCTGTTTCGAATAAATGCTGTTCTTTTGATCTTTTTAAGAAAAGTTCCCACAAAAATAGTAAGCGGCACAACCATTTTCAGCATGAATAATAATAAGAAATGTTTCTTGAGCAGCAAAATTAGAAAGATTTCTGAAGCATCATGTGACACTGAAGACTGGAGTAATGATGCTGAAAATGTAGCTTTGCTTCACAGCGATACATTACATTTGAAAATATATTTGAATAGAAAACAGTTATTTTTAAGTTGCTTTTAATCCAATAAATGCAGCATTGGTGAGCATAAGATACTTCTTTCAAAAACATCGAAACAAGCTTACTGACCCCAAACTTTGAATGGTTATTTCATATATAAAACAAGGTTTGTGATGGTAGAGATGCACTGGCCTTATTGTTGGTATCGGCGGAAATAATCCCTTCTTCTTCTGTTTGCTGATTTCCTGACAAATCTTGGAGATGAGCCTAAAAGTATTAGAGAACACCAGTTTCACATCCTCAAAGTTTAACTACCATTACTAGCACATTATTGACTAGTAGGCGTTTTTAAGAGAAACAACCGAATGTAATTATTGCTTTAAGTACTGGTTGAGGGTTCAGTTCAAGCAGGATGTGGTAATTTTCTGTCCTCATTTCGGTGCACCTGACAATGCTTAATAAACTAACAAAAATCACTTTACCATGAAGTCACTGTCTTGCACCTAAATCCAAATACGCTTTTGGGGAAAAAATCAACAACATCTGCTAGTTTAAGTGTTATTGAGGTGTGGGTGTTTTCAACAATTTCACACCGAACATGCTCTGCAAAACAGTTTCTGCATCAACGCTATGGTTCCTGCCACATCTGCTTCTCTGGTTTATCTTTCCTGTGCAGTATTTCCTCTTAATGTCACTATGTCATCGATGGTGTTCTTGCACATTTCTACCTATTTGTACACTTTTATACAGTGAAATAATATGGCAAAGTAATGATCTACAGTTGTTTTAAAACGTTTTTAAAGCACAGTGAGTGTATTTTTAAAAGAAATAAATAAAAAGTATGTATTTGAATACTCGGGATACATTATTATTCTACAATATATCACAAATAAATTCACAATGTCTAAAGTACTCATGCGATTTACCCAGTATAGATTAAGAAAGAGGAATGGCAAATATGCAGTACTTACGGCGCATGAAGCTTAGGGAACTTTTGAAGGTCATTGTCAGACATACTCTGAAAAAATATATACAGACTGATTTTAAATGTATCAAACTGTCTCTCTCTCTCTCTCTCTCTCTGTGTGTGTGTGTGTGTACACTACCAGTCAAAAGTTTTTGAACAGTAAGATTTTTTATGTTTTTTAAAGAATTCTCTTCTGCTCACCAAGCCTGCATTTATTTGATCCACAATACAGAAAAAGCAGTAATATTGTGAAATATTTTTACTATTTAAAATAACTGCTTTCTATCTGAATATATTTTAAAATGTAATTTATTGCTAAATTTTCAGCATCGTTACTCCAGTCTTCAGTGTCACATGATCCTTCAGAAATCATTCTAATATGCCGTTTTGCTGTTCAAGAAACATTTATTATTATTATTATTATTATCAATATTAAAAACAGTTGAGTACATTTTCAGGATTCTTTGATGAATAGAAAGATCCAAACATCAGCATTTATCTGAAATAAAAAGCTTTCGCAACATTATACATCATATAATGTTTTTGGGGGGGAAAGAAATTATAGAAATTAATACTTCTATTTAGCAAGGATGCTTTACATTGATGATAAAGTGATGATAAAGACATTTATAATGTTACAAACGATTTCTATTTCAGATAAACGCTGTTCTTCTGAACTTTCTATTCATCAAAGAATCCTGAATAAATTCTACTCCGCTGTTTTCAACATAATAATAATAATTAATATTTTTTTGAGTAGCAAATCAGAATGAGCAAAGGATCATGTGACTGGAGTAATAATAGTAAAAATTCAGCTTTTAAATCACTGGAATAAATTACTTAAAATATATTCAAATAGAAAACAGTTTCTTTTAAATAGTATAAATATTTCAAAATTGTACTGTTTGTGCTGTACTTTGGATCAAATAAATGCAGGCTTGGTGAGCAGAAGAGACTTCTTTAAAAAAAAAAAACATTACAAATCTTACTATTCAAAATCTTTCGGCTGGTAGTGTGTATATGCATATGTACACTGCATGGCCAAATAAAAAAGTCACCATTTGGATTTAAATAAGCAAAATACTGAAGAGTCTACGGCTGGATCATTATTGCATTGATTAATACGTTTCTGTCATGTTTTGTAACAATTCTTTTTACTCTAACTGATGCAGTGTGTGGCTTTTAAATTTCTTAAACAGCCATGTTGGAAGATGTACAGGTCCATATTCCAGGACGACAATGTCATAGGGCAATGTCATAGGGCATAATTAGCACGAGGAACAATTTTCATGCATATATTTAATTGTCCTGACCTGGAGTTGACTTTACAGAGTGGTTACAGAGACTCTCCCATTGTCAATACAACATCTGAGCCAAAAATGAATGTTGTGACATTACATAACATCGTCGAAACAATTCCATAACGAACGCACAATGTTAGCAAAGCTAAAGGCTGTCCAGTGATATATTAGGGTGTGTTTTTGGACAAGCTGACTCTAGCACATCCCAAAGACTTTCAGTGATTTTAAGGTCAGGAATCTGCGGTGGCCAGTCTTTCACAATTTCAGCCACAATCTTGGCACTGTCATCCTAGATTAGGTCCATGGGTACATCTTCTGACATGGTTGTTTAAGCAATAAATGCTATGCACTGCATCAGTTAGGGTTAAAACCATATTAATTACTGCTATAATGATTCAATCCTTCAAAATCATTTGAAGGCTCATTTGAACATAGATAGAAACACACATAAACACATTTAGAACTTATTTCTAACCGATTAGGAGTTGGTTGTTTGAAAACAGAAGTTCTTGAGAGTTTTTAGAGGTTAGCAGTTTACTTGGTAGTTAGTTTCTAATAACAGCACTTCCTGAATTGCGGGATCAAGGGAAACAATGATCCCACATTGAGTCAGACCACAGACATCTGTTTTGTAATGGCACATTTTTATCTGTGCTCCATAATGAATATAAATATTTAAGAAAAAGTAATAATTTTTTTTACAAATGCAAACAAAAACATCCTTAAAATCAAACAAATTTAATTCACATTACCACAAAATGCTTAGGGCTAAAATTAGGCCTATACTAAATGATCATGGCATACAAAATGATGATTATGTATACATATGCTGAAAATGGTCAATTCTGGTTTCTAAATGCCTCTTGAATTTATTAAGTTCCCTCTGCTGTCTGTGATCAGAACAGACCTGTGACACAGTTTTCGGTTGTGACATACCAAAACTGCTAGACTAAATTTTTTATAAGACATACATACCAGGAACCTTTGTCCATTGATGTTATACCGTGTCACGACCTTATCACACCCGGTTAGATTCCGCTAAAGATCATGAAAAAGAAAGTATGTCAGCTGAACATACAGGCTCAAAGAAATAACCATATCTCCAACATAATGTAATATTAAATATCATTAAATATACATTCAACTCTATTTAAGATTCACTGATGCATAACAAATGTCTCTCAATTTTAAACAGTACCAAATTCATAGTACATGTGCTGAACGTCTATAAAAGAAACGTTTTAATAATACATTAATTACAACAGATAGGTTTTCAATTTCACTTCATATTTTACATTGAAACATAGAAAGAGAAAGCAACTTACTTTCTTCAGAAAGTCTGATAACCGTTGTGAATCCCAGCTCAGAACCTCCGATTTGGATGGAATACTATCAGAACTCATTATTCCAAACGCGCTACACTTACTTATGAATATCAAATCCCAGAAACCAACAAGCATTGAAAAAAAAGTTGCCACTCTCACTGTGTCTGACACTATGTCTCCTGAGAAGACGAGGAGACTGGTGCCAAATCAAAGAAGAAAAGAAATCACGAGATAATACTTCAGTGACAGAATCACCCTGTTTCAAATGTAGAAGCGGGAGAAACACTCAAAATTCGACCAACATTTTCAAAAATAACTAAAAAGCCCAACACCCCGGATTTGCCTGAGCACAGTATAAAAAGAAAGAATGACATCCACTTCCCCATAGACTTCCTGTTAATGATTGTTGTGACAAATAGGGGAAGTACAGCCCCTTCATGAAAAAAAGAAGCTATTTCTTCATTTATTATAATTCATCTTCGACCCCTCTGACAGATGTAGACTATAAGCACTGGACATTATGAACTACTGGACTCAATCTGATGTTCATTTTAGTCTTCGGTGAGATCCTAGACACACAATGCAAGTTTAAAACTACATTATTATTTGATTATCTGCCTCATTATCTACATCTTGCCAGTTCCACATGTCATGTGATTCTTACATTTTGGTTTTGAATGTTGATAAAAGAGCTGTTTAGTGCAAATTAACTCTTGCTAGTTACATAAAATAACACGAGCAAAGTCAATGTATGAGCAGTACTTCATGACTGATTTAAAGTTTAGAAGTTTACAAAACAAATCATATATTCATCAAAGTTGTAATATACACCATCATTTTATTATAGTCACTTTTTAATTTCATCTTTTAGTTCAGAGCTTCATTCGCCATTAGTTGATGCTTCTGGGATTAAATATGTAACATTCAGACTGATAATTAACAACTATTTTAGCATTTTAATTGAGCTTTAAAAAGAAAGAAAAGAAAAAACAAGCCTGGTTAAATTGTGGAATTTTTGTAGCTTCATTTTAAAACTAGCACCCAAATTACAGGTGCATCTCAATAAATTAGAATGTTGTGGAAAAGTTCATTTATTTCAGTACTTAAACTCAAATTGTGAAACTCGTGTATTAAATAAATTCAGTGCACACAGACTGAAGTAGTTTAAGTCTTTGGTTCTTTTAATTGTGATGATTTTGGCTCACATTTAACAAAAACCCACCAATTCACTATCTCAACAAATTAGAATATGGTGACATGCCAATCAGCTAATCAACTCAAAAAGTTGCTTGAAGTCCGGTGTTAAGTTTCCACAGTCTGTGATGATTTGGGGTGCAGTGTCATCTGCTGGTGTTGGTCCATTGTGTTTTTTGAAAACCAACGTCACTGCACCCGTTTACCAAGACATTTTGGAGCACTTCATGCTTCCTTCTGCTGACCAGCTTTTTGAAGATGCTGATTTCATTTTCCAGCAGGATTTGGCACCTGCCCACACTGCCAAAAGCACCAAAAGTTGGTTAAATGACCATGGTGTTGGTGTGCTTGACTGGCCAGCAAACTCACCAGACCTGAACCCCATAGAGAATCTATGGGGTATTGTCAAGAGGAAAATGAGAAACAAGAGACCAAAAAATGCAGATGAGCTGAAGGCCACTGTCAAAGAAACCTGGGCTTCCATACCACCTCAGCAGTGCCACAAACTGATCACCTCCATGCCACGCCGAATTGAGGCAGTAATTAAAGCAAAAGGAGCCCCTACCAAGTATTGAGTACATGTACAGTAAATGAACATACTTTCCAGAAGGCCAACAATTCACTAAAAATGTTTTTTTTATTGGTTTTATGAAGTATTCTAATTTGTTGAGATGTGAATTGGTGGGTTTTTGTTAAATGTGAGCCAAAATCATCACAATTAAAAGAACCAAAGACTTAAACTACTTCAGTCTGTGTGCATTGAATTTATTTAATACACGAGTTTCACAATTTGAGTTGAATTACTGAAATAAATGAACTTTTCCACAACATTCTAATTTATTGAGATGCACCTGTACTGGATTATGGGAATTGTGCTGCTATTTACCATCTAAGAACCACATTTGCAAAAGAAATTAACAAAAAGTCAGATGGTGTGAAAGATTATGTGGATCGTGACCTGCAACACGGACGGCTGGTTCAGCTCCTGAACTGTTCGCATATAACACCCACAACTGGAAACTATGAGTTTCAAGCTTTCAGTTGCTCCTGTTCTAGGGGTTAGTTCATGGAAATATCTCGGTAAATGTGCTTCCATCACTGAATATCCACTTTGATGTAGCTGTAAAGTGTATTTGCTTCACGAACCTGTAAACGGATGTTCAGATATGATTATCATATTACATGTACTTGATGTCATGCACCAAAACACATACAATGGCCCTGCCTTGTCACACAGTTATTTCCATTTCCTGGCTGCTTACGAAATAGGAGGTGGTTCAGTGGGTGTATTAAGATCTGTTTTGAGGGCAAAGTCAGCGGTCTTGATTCAGAGTAATGTCATCCTGTTGTTTATATATGTCAATAATGTTTTAACCACACTTTTTTTTTTTAATTTGAGTGGAAAGTATCGTTACATGGTACATTTTTGGAGTGGCTCTATAAAACACTCTTTTCCTTTTTTATTGCTAATTTTAAATTCCATTATTTGAGCATTTTGTGAGTGATGCTTGAGATTGTTCATGAAGGGGCTGTACTTCCCCTATTTGGACTATTGTAATGCATTGTTTGGACTATTGTAATGCACTGCTAGGTGGTTGTCCTGCATCTTCAATAAACAAGCTACAGGTAGTCCAAAATGCAGCGGCTAGTCCTTACCAGGTCAAGAAAATATGATCATATTACCCCAAATTTACAGTCTCTGCACTGGCTACCTATTAAGTTCCTTATCAGTTACAAAATATTATTACTTACCTACAAGGCCCTTAATAGCTTCTGCGTACCTAGTCTTCTACCACGCTACAATCCATCACGCTCCCTAAGGTCGCAAAACTCTGGACTTTTGGTAGTACCTAGGATAGCAAAGTCCACTAAAGGAGGTAGAGTTTTTTCGCATTTGGCTCCCAAACTCTGGAATAGCCTTCCTGATAACGTTCGGGGTTCAGACACACTCTCCCTGTTTAAATCTAGATTAAAGACACATCTCTTTGGCCAAGCATTCAAATAATGCATCTCATAATCTTTTACTGCAGTTATATCT